AGTTCCATTTTGGTGTAATTTTCCCATTTTTCTATAATTATTTTGCAAGTTGGTTCCCCAAAATAGGAATTAGGTGCAAGTTGGTTCCCCAAAATGATGATTTTGAAAGTTGCTTCCCCAAAATAGGAATCGGGTGAAAGTTGGTTCCCCAAAATGACGATTTTGAAAGTTTGTTCCCCAAAATAGAAATCATGTGAAAGTTGGTTCCATTTTGGTGCAATTTTCTCGAGTATAAAAGCTTGCAAATCTTTTCCTTTATTAGCAGCTCTTTCATTGTTAAGTTATCGCACTTAGTTTCTACCCAAATTTAGAAGTTTATGAAGAAGCTTGGTATGGTGTTTTTGGCTGATTTGGATCCAAGAATCATTTGCGAACACATAATAAAAGGAGTCTCTCCTTTTGGAAATACACCATCATACTGATAGTGGAACTACATTGAATCTCGTTGTCTCGACTTACGTGTCATTTACTATTTTTGATAGTACATTGCATTGCTACTATTCTATTTGCGCTACTGGGTCGGTATTCTTAATCGGATCGTGGTTTGCTACATTTGGATCTTGTTTATCCGCATTTGTTGTATTGGATTAGTTTGAATTTGAATTTTTTGATTATATCTGGAACCAATAAACCTTGTGGTCGTTATTGACATCTGGAACCAAGAAACCTTGTGGTCGTTATTGACATTTGGAACTACACCCCTACACGATGTCTGTATGAGAAAATGTGTAGAATAGACATACCAGATTTTTTGTACTTAGTTTTTTATTTCACGAATGATATAAAACAGTCAGAAAAAATGACATATTAGATAAAACAAATCATTGTGAGTTCATACAAAAAAAGAGTAAATTACGTTTTTAGTCCTTATGGTTTGTTGAAAATTTCGATTCTCGTCCTTATGGTTTTAAAATTATGATTTTCATCCTTATGGTTTATAATTCATTGTCTTTTTCATTCTTATGATTTACAATTTATTACTTTTTTTCGTCGCTGTAGCTTACAATTCATTTCTATTTTAGTACTTGGTACTTAAAAACAAGAAAACAAAGTTTCATCCCTCTAATCTAACCTACAAATTTAGTTTCTTAATGATTTTTTTTACACGTTGGTCCAAAAATATTCATTTTCATATTTTTTTTTGTCCATTTTCATTATCATGTTTATGCATATGAAAATGACCAAATGACATGGAATATTAGTTTTAAAATAAAAAATTAATATGACGTGAAATATCTTAGTTAACAAAAGATCTGAATAATGTCAGCATTAACAAGTCAACTAGACCCTTAAATAAACAAAAAGTTTGATAGAGACCCCTAAATGACAATTTTGAAAGTTGGTTCCTCAAAATAGGAATCAGGTGAAAGTTGGTTTCATTTTGGTGCAATTTTCTCTTTTTAAATTTATATTTTATTAAAAATAAAAACATTATTGCTATCTCAAAACCACATAAAATCGTATTATATCAATATAAATAAAAAATATATTAAAATCAAAATATGTCAAGATGTACTGCACAAATACCCTTCTAATATTACATATATAATTGATAACTTTTTAATTATATAAATGGTGGATCCGAATTTTTATAGTAGCGTGATATTATTGATACCATCATATAACAATGACGAATATAAAACTTGAACGTGGCCACGTGGCATTGTTTTTCTTTCTAAAAAGAGGCGTAATTAGCACCTTTCTACAGATCCAGGCATCACCCAAAATCTAGGGTTTAATATCTCTGTTACTGATCTTTCCACAATGTCCAAGATCTCAACCGCCGGTTACGGCGGAGTTCCCACCACCTCCACCGCACCAGCTACCTCTCCTTCTACATTTTTCGATCGGGCGAAATTGCACACGGAGAACTTTGTCGCCAAGCGCCGTCCATGGCGAGACTTTTTCGATTATTCTGCTATCTCTCGACCGATAAGCTACGACGATGCTATGGCTCGGATCAGACAAAATTTGAACTACTTTCGAGTCAATTACGCCATGCTCATGCTCCTAATAATCTTCCTCAGCCTCATTTACCACCCGATTTCGATGATTATTTTTCTGTTCGTCTTCGTTGCTTGGTTTTTCCTTTACTTCTTTCGCGATGCTCGCAGCCCCATTATGATTTTCAACCGTGTTGTTGACGACCGCGCTGTGCTTATCGGTCTGAGTTTGTTAACGATCTTTGCCTTGGCTTTTACTAATGTGGGAATGAATGTGTTGTTATCCTTGATTATTGTGGTTGCGGTTGTGGGGTTACACGCGGCGTTTAGGAGCACTGATAACTTGTTTCTGGATGAACAAGATGCGGCGGAAGGGGGTTTACTTTCTGTTGTTGGTAGCGATTCTTCGCCACGAACAACTTACAGCTTGCATTGATCCAATTAGATTGCTGGGAAAAAGGTCTGTTGTTGTTCTGCAATGATGTGATTGGTTTGTTCTCTTTCAATCTTTAGATGAATTGGTGGGGCCAGTGTGTTGTATACTTATTGAGTGGCTTGTGTCTTTTCTTGTTCCTTCTGGGTTCTGGCCGACTTCATGTTGTTGTCTTTATTCTATTTGCCATGTTTAGAATTGGGAGTTGGAATCTGAAGTTCCCCTGCTTCTCTTAAGAGTGTATGTAGTTTGATATGTAGTTACAATACATGGTGAAGGCGGAAGCTAAAGAACAATGAAATCATAGTCTAGTTGCAGTTGCCTGCCTATTTATGATTGGATCATTCTTTTTGTTTCTACATTTAGGTTGAATTTGATTAAAAATTTCTTGTTTGTTGATTAGATGCTTTAGTGATGTTCTTGTTCCATGCTTTAGTGATGCTTCAGTGCCATCCTTCCAAAGCATTTTACTGGTATTATAATTTGATAGCATACATATTACAAGTAGGTTGGGATAGCATTGAACTGTTTGAATAAGTATTTGTATATGGGCCTGCAAATAGAAGTCCTTAATGTGCTTCTAATCTATAGCATTGAACTTCTTTTTGAAGGCCAAAACTCATTCGCTCCTCAGTTGAATGGTTGAATCCTTGTCCTCAACAGAGGTTGGGATCTACCGGTACCCTGGGTACCGTTGGGCGAATGACCCTCTTGGTCTTGGTTAAAAAACCCAATCTTGGGTATTTCCCAGTGAATTATCAAGTTGCAGGTGCCAAAAATTTCATCTCCTTTTATGTGATTGCTGTACAACCATTAAACTCTAGCAATCAAGCAAAAGTTTTGGTCTTGATATAGTAGGATTTCGTATATGTATGTATCATGATGCCTATAAAGTTAATTAGTCTTGCAAAGCCTCTTGTTAAGTGGATTATAAGTCTTGTAATGAGGGATTATATGGTTAAACATGTCTCTCTCTCCCTCTTTGAAAAAATAACTCGAAATCAAGAAACGAAAAGGAATCTGCTTTTGATTTTATGGACCCCTTGATCTCTTTGTGCCATCATTATGGTGATTGAAGGCCATTTCCCTCACTAAAGGATCATCAATGGGAAAGCAAGCTTCCAGAAACATCAATCAAGGTGAGTCCACTGATATATTTTATACTAGTTTTTAATCTTGGTTAAGTCGATTGTGGTTCCTTACTTCTCATACTTGAATCTGAGGTTGCCAATAATTTCTCTTTATGCTATACTCTCTATCTTATATGTACTGTACCTTGGATTACATTTGGTTAAATTCCCTAGTCGGTTAAAAAGCCTATAACTCTAAGGTTTCACTTATTTCCACCATTCTTTCTTCACATGTGAATATCAAGTAGATCATACTTCATTTCTGGCTATTTTGCCATACAAAGAATTGAATATATCCTTGTTTGGTTGACTATATTGTGCCATACAAACAATTGAACGCTGGGGTCAATATTTGGAGTCATTTTAGCCTACCCATTTAGTTTGGCATAATGGTTATATTGTTGTTCCAAGTAATTTACGTTATATGTGCCTATTGTTCAGCTGATGAGATTGAGAAATAGAGTCCAAAACAAACCAACTCGGTATATCCCACTTGTTTTAATAATTCCCTTTCTTTTGGCAGTGGTTGTGATATAATGATCTCCGGAGGCAGTTATTCTGTTTGCATGATAGCTATGCCAAGAAAGAGATCTATGAAGACCAAGGAAGGCGTATCCGATTCTTTTTTTGGATTCGAAGATAAGACCGGTTTTGTGCTTGCAAAATGTACATTCGCTTTTCTTGAGTTTAAAGTAATGCTATTTGGTGTTGTTTTATTATTATTTATATTTGCAAGCGTCATAATTTCTATACATACAAGCATTCGGAACCATGGTTTAGATTAGGAGTGTTATTAGTTCGCTAGATTGTGTTTCTAAGTAATAAAATTGGTCAGTTATTTCTTATATGTGTGTATATATGTAGGGTATATTTCAAAGGCTTGTGGATTTACACCCCCACCAACGACCTACCCCTATTTATAGATAATAATTACTTAATTATTATTAATTATTTTTTATTTTTCTTATTTTATTTATTTGTAATTATTATTCAATAATATCCTTTATTTATTTTAATTTTTTAAATTGTTGTTTTTTTAAATTATTGTTTT